GAAGAACAAATACAGAGAAATTGGTACAAAACCATTGTTGGTTCAGAGTAAAGCTTGAAAATTAGAAATAAATAAATAAAACAAGATTCAAAACTTACCCATAGCTCAATTCTAGAGCGATTTTTCGAATTTCGTCTGCATTGTATCAATAGAAAAGAGGGATTTTGGGTGATTAGTAAGAAAGAGGGAAATTGGGTTTGAAAAGCTTTGGAAAAGGAAAATAATCTGCAATTTAGGAGGGGGGGGGGGGGGGGGTTAACAGTGGGTAAAAAATTGAGAGAAATTTTGGTTGATTATTAAGAAAAGGAGAAAATATTTTTGAAATCCTTTGGGAAATGAACGAAATCTTAAATATAAGGGGTTATTGGAAATGAGGGATGGATGTCACGTAACTGATAGGTTAAATTTAAGGGATCTTGAATTTTCTTCTTTTTAATGATTTTGTATATAACTTGTACATATAAATATACAAAGTAATTAATTAAGAATTTAAATAAAAGTGGTACATAGGTTTATTTGAATATTGTGAACAACAGACATGAATCAGTGATACTAAGAAAGATTGGATCATTGCACAAGAAATGTACCTCAATTCCAAAAATAGTTACGGCTACAACATAAATGACATATATAACTTAATTTAGAAGTCAGTCTTTCCGATTGCATCAAAGTCTTTCTCTTTCTTTTAGCTTGACACAAGTTATAATATTAGAATATAGTATTACGGCTTTCTTAATAAGTCCTACTCGCTCGTCATGCCACGCTTCANGAAAATATGATAAGTAGAAAACTGCTTTGCGTCTTCAGAAATTGACCATAGAGGAACTTCTCCTTTTGGCGTCTGCTTTAGGTTAGCAAAACTATGTACTATCTATACTAATACAACAACAAACATAGTGTAATCCTTCAAGTGAAATTTGAGAAGGGTAGTGTATAAGTAAAAAGGCTATTTTTGATAGACCATCGGCTCAAAAAACTATCTCATCTATGCTCTTTAGCATTAATGTCAGTTTGTTTTTTCTATTTGCAAGTGCTTAAAAACAACTAAACTGTGACATTGTCTCATTATTCGTTTATTCTTATGACTTCTTTTCCATGTTGTTTCTCCTCCTTGTTTTGTTTTGTTTCGGAAGATTCGTAATTCAAATGCATTTGCCTAGTAAAAGGGTGGACTTGATAATTGTTATTTAGCATTGGTTCTGGAGGCTGTGAAATGGAAAAAAATTTCCCCTTAAAATAAGGATTAATATGTGTGTAGGCGTATAAAATTTACGGAATTAAATTCATAAATAAATTTGAATTATTTTTTAAATTCAGGATATATTGGTCCAAATAAATATTATGGGCTAATATAATTGGATTAATTATATAAATTCAATATAAATGGATTAAATAAAAGAATTTTTACATTCCTATACACTATATGAAACTATATTACCCTCCCTACTCAAGTTTTACTATAATTACATTTTATATACCAAATTTATGTACATTTTAAGGGAATTAATGATAATAATTAGTGTCCTAAAATTACTCTAACATATCTTCCACTCCCCCCACGTTTCTCTCTCCACATCCCACCCCCTCCCCACGTATCTTGCACAAGAGAGCAGCAATTCTACCATTGACAACCATTAAAAAGCTTTGAATTCAAATTTGGATTTTCAAAAAACATTGTTTGTTTGGATTGGATGTTGTTGTAAAGAATTGAGAATTCTCTCTACATCTCTCTCTATCTCTCAATCCCAAATTTCAGTGATGTAAAGCAAAGGAAAAGAGAGCAGCAATTCCACCATTGACAACCATTAAAAAGCTTTGAAGCTTTGAATTCGAATTTGGGTTTTCAAAAATCATTATTTATTTGGATTGAGTGTTGTTGCAAATAATTGGGAATATGGTTTGAAGTTTATATCTCAATTTTGAGGGGTTTTGGTGAAGATTATACTTGGTTTTGGCTGAATTTCAGATTGAAACTCGAAGAAGACATGACAAATATTATACTGCAAAAATTGTAGAAAAATTGTATTATGTTGTTTATATATTTTTCTTTTATTTATTTAACTATTGTATGAAAGTTGAACAACATTGTATAAAAATTATATTTAAGTTGTATGATATTTTAGTTGTATATAATTGAGTAGAAATAATGTATGAAAATTGTAGATAAGTTGTATAATATATAATTAGTTGTATGAAATTTGTTTTTACTATGTATAAATCAGATACAAAATATACAAAAGGCATATTGTATAAAATTTGTATTTAAATAGTATGTTATTGTAGTTGTATTTAACTGGATAGAAATAATGTATGAAAGTTGTAGATAAGTTGTAGATAAATTGTATAATATATAATTAGTTATATGAAATTAATCCGTTTGCTTTCTCATGAATCTCATCAAAACCAACAACAACAACAAAGATTAGATCAAAACCCCTCTGTATCTACTGATTACACAGCCGTAACTAATGTTGGTGTTAACAAATTCGAAAAGTTCATTTCTTTACTTGACAAAAACAGAACTGGTCATGCCAGATTTCGTAAAAATCCAATTTCTACTCCCCTTCCTCCTCCTAAACCCCAGCAGCAAAGATTGCATCAAAACTATATAAAAAATCAGAACCTCCAAATAGAAGAAACCGAAAAGCCACAAACAAATATTCCCAAAATTTACTGTCCAACACCAATTCAACATTTACCTCCTTTACTACGTAACCATCTTCAATTGGTCAAAAATGGATCAATTGAGAGAAAAGTATCATCTACAACTATTAATTAGTAAGGGGTCGACGCTATTTTTCAGCTGTTTCAAGACTTCAATGTCTTGCCAGTGTGTTGTTGAATGTGTATGCATGAACAGAACATGGAGAACTGTAAGGAATAGAATTGTAGAAGAGGATGAGAATACAGAGAATAATGAACGATCCATTTCTGCAAACTTTCCTCTCTGTTCGTTTTTTTCCTGTTGGATAGTGAGAATTGAAGAAGAAGAAGAAGAAGAAGCACCTTCAAGATTGGTTTTGAAATGAGTTCACGAGCATACATTCGGGTGTGGCCAATGAATGGAGCAAAACAAAGAAATGTGAAGAAAAAGTGAGAAAGGCCGAAGTGAACACTTGGCAAGGAGGAGTTTAAGAGGTATTGGTTTCTCTTTTTTTGCTAAAGTGATGAGCCTACTTCGTTAAGCCAAGATATCATCTTCCTAGAGGTCCAGTTTGGTGCCACATGTCATATGATGTGGCACGCCAAGTTAAACGGAAGAGCCAATGAGATCATGCCACGTGTCAAAATGACAAGGCATGTCAAGTCACATTAAAAGGCCAATGAAATCGCGTCACGTGTGCTAGTGACATGTTCTAGTCAATCAAATGCGGTCTTGTCACACTTCAATTTAATTGGTCGGAAAGAGTTTATTCTTATCACAACTCTTCCTTCCCACAACTATAAATAGAGATCTTTATAACCCAGAAAGGACAGCAGAAGTTATAACAAGAAGCAAGAGAGAGCTTGTGAATCAAACGCCGCAAATTTCTCTACAAGTTTGAATCTTCAAGCAATCAAATTCAAGTTCAAGAAATCAAGTTCAAGCTCTAGAATAAAGAACAAATCAAGATTCAAGGAGTACGAGTTCAAATCAAAGTTCGTGCTAGCTGAATTCAAGATCATCATTCGTGACAACAAATATATGTTCAAGATAAAGCTCAAAGGCCCTTGAATTTATATTGAAAAAATAGAATCAGAGGGTTCAGAGAGATTGTAACACTCAAATATTTGAAATAAAATACTACGATTGTTGTAATATTTTTCGGTCTTGATTTTATTTTCTCTACGCAATTTATTGTCTACAATGTGATTATGTACATACATTAGGAGACATGGAGTTAGGTCAAATATTTATTTACCAAATATTAAACATAAGTTATTTATGCAAAAACTGTGGCAAATTCTCTACATTTAAAAACTGCATACACATAAAACATTCAACTTCGAATTTGTTTTGGTACAAATGTCATATTTTCATATTCAGTCATCCCTTATTTTTACTGCTCCTTTTATTACATGAATCCACCCCTTCCCCTCTCCCCCCACACCAAGTAACATTATTAAACAATGTACAACTACTATAATTAACCATTATACCAAAGGTAATATGTAATATAAAATTAATCCGTGCAACTTACTGTTAGTTAAATCTAAGTCAATTTAAAAAAAGGTCTTCAGTGGAACATCACTTCTTATTTATTTATTATTATTATTATAATTATTATGTCGAGAGGATATAGCGATGGTATAAAATTATCATCAGAGTAAGCATGATTCTTGCTTCTTTTTTGAAGTCACAATATCAAGGGTATACAGCCAATGCATCCTACCTACACTCTACATACGGGGGCTACCCCCCCAGTAGATTTGACAATTTTGATAAATTGAAAGGCCAACAGGTACCAATATTAAATAAACTGTCAATATACATTAAATCCAAATCTCTAGCCAGTAAGTTGTAGTATCTGAGAGTGACCCCAGACTATAAGTACAAAGCAAGCCTCACCACCACATGTGGGCTCTTCCATTATTTCCCTATCACTTCAACCTAAAGACTTAAATAAACCATAAATATGAATCATGCAAAAACTTTCCCACATAAAGGAAAATGTATAAACAAATAAAGAGCTACTACTGGTCCTGTTAGTTTCAGAACTAAAGTAGGTGCTTTATAGTAAAAAAGTATTCTAATTTTGAGCCAAAAGAAGATCTGTTTTTTGTTCTGGTTTCCAATAAACAAAAGAACCAGAGGACTGTTCTTTATATATAAAATAAAATATAGGAAAAAAAAACCTCTTTACTTCTTTATTCTCTTTTTTATATATTTCTTTATCTATTCTTTCAATTCTTTGACTACCCAAAAATAGTTTTGCAGCAAACTAAAAATATTTAACTAATTTTGATCTATTAAAATTTTCAATTGTTCAACTGTTTTTCAAAACTAAAATCTACACACATTGGCTTCCACTTCTCTTGCTTGAGGTCTTTTTTATCATTAGGAAACTGAGCTTCCAAGAATCTCATTAAATACAACTTAGGTACAACTTTTCTACAAAAAGGTACACCAAAGAATCCCTTACATGTGATCCTCCCCAAAAAATAATCATCCACAGAATAAACACTCCTCTGCAAAGCATTACTGCCCTCCACAATGAACTACTTTTTTATTAAACAAAGAAAAAACTTCTGCTAAAGAACTAACTTAAGTGTACCTGAATCAATGAATAATAAAACAAACACAAGGCAACACCAAATAAAACATGCACATTCTTGTCCAATATACTTGTCTCTGCTCCAATAAATCTTATTGTGTTTGATCCACTTGCTTGTGTTGCATTCACCACCTGATTTGTTTTATTGCTTACCGTCTTGCTGCAATTTTTATTAATTTATAGCTTGTAAATAAAAGTTCCAAACCAAGAAATTGGAAAACTACTATGCTTTTACAGATATTTAGCATAGGGAAATGAGAAAGACAAGGACAAATGGAATGGAAAAGAAAAGGACCAAAATTATGCTCACCTTCCTGGAAATATACAGCTCCCGTGACCTGCAATATTCCCCACAAAGGAAAGACATAAGTTCAGAGTTTCAGCTAATAATTTAGAATAGACTTCACTAAAAACATGAAACAAGTGGAGCCATAGACTTGCTGGCTAAGGATATAAACAACAAGATGTAAGTTCTCTATTCCAACTAAAGGCTTAAAAAGCCAAACATAGGCTGGTTCAGTTTAACTCTAAAAAAAGACATGCATTCTTGTGGTTATATATCCAAGTTGGCGCCACGGCTCCATTCTATTATTAATATGTTCCTTTTTCTTTTTTCTAATAATTGTGGTGCATGGGCTAATTTATGTGCACGGCGACTATTTCACGAGGCATATGTACCGCTTTGCTCCGCACCAAAGGCTTAGACAAAATGGAAGAAATCATCTAGCATTTTTTGTCTTTGATGGGATTTGATCCCTGGTCCCCTATGATTTTCACCCACTTCATTGATCGTTAAGTCAATGCAATATCCCATGCAAGTATCCTCCTATTTTATATAATGAATATTCAGTACACTTCAATTTGTGCGTCCACTAAAAATGGAACAATAACTATGAAAAAAACTGAAAATCCTGTACCCAAACTTTTTCCCACCATCCAATTTTGAATGAGGCACTTGTGGCTCTATATCCAAGTGGGCACCAAAGATCCATTGTGGGTCTGGAAAGCACTAGCTCAAGAATTATTTTGCAGAATGCGACATTTGTGATTACAGTGTCAAGGTATCAACCTAAAAAGGCCATCAAACTTTCTGTTGTTGATAGTTCATCAAATAGTTTACACCATAATGTTGAACATAACATAGTAGGGGACAAAATGCTTAAATCACCTAACAAAAAGATAACTTCAAGATTTCATTTCTAAGCATTGGACTAATCTTTTCTTGAAATTACAAGAAAAAAGAATATACTCCATATAGATACTAAGCGTATGATAGACTTACTTGGATCAGATGTGGTGATCATAGCCACTCCCTTGAAGTCACAAGAACCAGGAGATGTCCCTGACTTCTGATAATAGCTATCAAATGCATATGAAGCATGATTCTTCACATCATTAGGCTGATAACAGCTCTCCCCTGGCTGAATTTCTGAGCAATTTGCCCTCCCCGGTCCACAAGCCCAATCCAAAGCAGCTTGCAATGTCCTCTTATCGACCCCATCCATCGCTATGCAATACGTTTGATTAGTGGTGTCATTAGCCAAGAATGTACCACTTCCAGACACATGAAGCAAGTAAACGGGCGTCGAATTCCCATGAAACAGCCCCCAATTTGCCTCGGACACAGGGGGTGACCTCAAATCCTCATTGAACAACTCATAAATGTACACACTAGAAGTTATTTCCGGATGCAACGGTGTACCACTACGATCAATTATATGCTTAATTAAATTGGAGTTATAAGTATCAGCATTGTCAATTGTAGCATAAGGCTCTTTAGAATCCCCCTTCGAAGGCCACCCTGATTCAGTAACAAGAACTACCACATCTGTAACATTGAGATTTTTCATGGAAAAATATACTGAATCAATCATAGCATCAAGCACATTGGTGTAATGAAGCAAAGTATTAGGATCCACCATCTCTTTAGAAGGTGTCAAGGGCTTAAAAAGAGAGTTGTCTATTGGAACAACCCCTTTATTCTGCATAAAAACATAGTAAGGGTACAAATTCATCATCAAAGGTGACTGTGTTCTTGAACAAAACTGCAATAATTGAGAAAGAACTGAGCTCATGGACTGATTGAAAAAAGCTTGGGAAGGTGGAAAAGGATCAAGAATAATGGAAGCAGAATTTGGGGTTGAAATCTTGATTTGGGTATGTAAATTAGCAGCCACTAAAGCACTATAAAGTGACTCAATTGCTGGCATAAGCAAAGGAGCTGAACTTGGTACAGTGGTCAAGAGTTCATCTCCAACTGCAATTGCTGTGATAAGAGTTTCAGGGTAATAAGCTGCTACATTTCGCCCAATCCAGGCAGCTGCAGTAGTATTAGAAGAACCAATAGCAAGAATTTGGTTATTAGGTACACTAATAATGACTCTGATTTTGGTCTTGGCTAATGCTTTGAGCATATCAGGATCAGCATCAAAAAGCCTTATATGTGTTATCTTCTGTAATTGCAGAAAAGCAACCAAGTCTGAAGGTGATAGAAAATTGGAAACATCTGTACCTATGTTCACTCCCACATATGGTTCATCTTTATCTTGCTGCACTTTTATTTCTGCAACACATTCAGACGCCATATTCATAAGACAAACATAAAAACCAAGAAACCTTAAAAAAAGAAAAAAACATGTGTTACCTGGTAGAAGACTGGAAATTGATGTGGAGAAGCAGCAGCAAAAGACAACAAGAAAGAAGAAAAGAGGGAGCTTTTTAGTATTTGCCATTAAAGAGAAGCTTGAGGTATTCTTGTATCATCTTCTGTTTCAGGGTCAGGTAAGGATTGCATTATCTTTGGGAAATTTTTGTAAATAGTAAGGTGGGTTTTGACTTAGCAAGATCTATAAATTTGGAGTAAGGCATAAGAAGAAAGCATTAATAATTCTTGAAAGTTAAATGCACTTTAAGGAAGCTTTGGTGGCATTATTTTATTTTACCTTAATGCTAGAACAATGTTGGATTTGATGTTATGTGGGGGCGAAATGACAATAATGACCTTGTGAACCGACAGGAAAATTGGAGGAAAGATTAAAAGAAGTGACAAGTCTCTGCAATTTTTGGAGCACTTTCTTTTCTCCATGATAAGTTTGGTACAAAAGTTGGATTGTTGGAACAATATTAGGGGTCGTTTGGTTGAAAGGTGAGAAAAATAATTTCAGCATAAATTTTACATAAAATAATAAAGTTTTTAGTTGAATTTTTTTTAGAAAAGTAGTTATCACAAGTCACATATTAATGAGCTACATTTAGTAGGCTGAATAGTATAATTTTCATATAACAAATGAAGCATTTAGTCTGATGTATTCAATAATATCAATTATATTAAAATTCATATACTATCTTATGCAGCATAGAATTTAAGTAAGAATACATGTATCAACAATGTGAAAATAAAAGTACAAGTGTTTTTAGAGTAAATAATTCCTATTAATATTTCGTGTATTATTATTTGAGATATGATAATTTTTATATAATTATTAATTACATAATAATTCATTCTTTATTACTTAGCGAATGTGTGAACCAAATAATTCTTAGAACCTATTTGAAAAGCCACTTAAGAATTGGAGTGAGGTATAATTGGGTGTAATTACACAGTTTGACATGTTTGTCTGGCCAAGTAATTACTTGGTCAACATGTAATTGAGTGTAATTGGAGAGGTGTAATAACACTCTTCAATTTTCAAAGTGGAGGTGAGAATTGGTGGTAATTACACTATGTAATTACAAGGTTACTTTTAAAGTTTTTTCCTTTTTGTTTTTATTTTAATTTATTTTCTTTATTTCCATTATTTTTATTTTTTATTTTTTATTTTAATTTCTTTTTATATTTTAAAATATATATTTTTGTACATTATCTATCTTTTATTGCTCTACCTTTACTTCTTATGATTCCATGTAATTGCCCGTATATTTTATTTTCTATTCGTTTTATATTTTTCATTTAGCGTAATTGCGTTATTATTTTAATTTTTGAACCTACACCTCCTAATATTAGAAATAATGCGTCATTAACAAACTTGGCATACAATGAGTGATGCCATTAAAGTAGAATTTCGTTGTTGAATGAGGTTATAAACTTATTATGTTTCCTAATCTTAAGTGGTATTAGAACTTATTTTTATGATGTTGTCAAAGTATTTTTTTCTAAAATTTTGAAATTGTGTTGTATTTATGGTTCCAATTTAGTTGTTTTAATAGCATTGGCTTGTTATTTCACATTGCATGTTATTTATTTTTTAGTTAGAATTGATAGATTAGTTTTGTTAAAACATTAGCATAATGTTATGATATTATATGTAATATTAATTTATTTTATCAAATATGCATTCCATGATGTTCTTACAAAACATATGTTTTATAATTGATTAATATTATTAATTTAGAAAATATATCAATTATTTTTAAAATATTAGTTATAAATATATGATTACTAATTAGTGTATATTCAAGAAAACATATGCATGTTAAATACCAAATCTAATGTCATTTATACTTATAAAAATTATTTATAGGTACGTATTTATTATATTAACTTTTAAGTTTTGAAAATTATTTTATTTAAAATTTAATATAATTGTGTAATTACACTTGTGTAATCAAATAGTACTCTTGTAACTATACTGTAATTATATTATAATAAACAAACAAATCGTCGTAATTATTATGCCATATAATTATTAGGTTGTATAATTATACTAACTCTAATTTTAAGTGGCTTTCCAAACAGACCCTATGTGTAAAATAATTGTGAATGTCAAATGCTTGAACTTAGAAGTAAAGACAAGACTTTTACTGAACTCTAGGCTACTTCTTGAATTCCTGGGATGCTTCTCAAATTCCAGGCTGGCTATCAGAGACCTGACTTTTCCCTTGTGTAATGACTGAAGTAACCCCAGCAAACTGTCTTCAGTTCATTTGAAGGGAAAGGTGAAAAAAGAATGAAAAAGTGAAAAAGGTTGAAAATAAAACAAGTGGACGGAGAGGCATGCGTGGCTGACGCAAGAAAGAAACCTAAGACAAGTCGAGACCTAATTTTATTGAGGCTATTTGAGAAAGAAACGTTTGTTGGACCTTTATTTACAGCCCTTGTGTTTTAAATTAAATTTAGGAAAAAGAAAGAAAAGAGCTTAATTTCATTGAAGGATTGAGTCCATTTTAGTTACACTATAGCGAAACTTTCATAAACCACTATGTTTTAGTGATTATTAGCTAGTTGTAGCTACCATTTACTATATTACTTCCTATAGTTATGTTTTCAGGTTTTTTAGAGTGTATTCGATGTATTTAAGCTATTATATTCATGAATAGAGTAGCTTTTCTAGGCGTGAAACAAGGGATTACAGCTAGACAAATTTTTATATTCGATTGTATTCACGGCGTGAAACAAGAGATTACAGCTAGACAAATTATTGTATTCAACTATATTCACGATATGTATTTATGAATACACTAACGTAAATAGCGCAATTCATGGTATATTCAGTTGCTTTTAAACGAAAAGTGAATCAATTAACATAATAGACTCCTAATATAACTCAACAAACTCAATTATAACACACAAAATTTGTATTTCCAGTTATAAATAAGATTCTCAACCGAAAAACACTCAAAAAACATAGCAATCTTCTGAGAAAATATGCTAAATATTTTTCCCAGCCAATAAATACAACAAAAACAAAGCAATTCAAATACATATATACATCTGAATATATAAATTATATTAATTAAAAAAATATATAAATACATTCATAGAATACAACGAGACAATGAATACAGTGAAATACATGGAATACAACAAGATACATTAAAATATAATGGAAAAAAGGACAATGAATACAATGAAATAGATGGAAATACAACGAGATATCACTACAAGAAATCACCCTTATTGTGGCGACTAAAGTCGCCACAAAACCCCTAGGAGTCGCTGCTAAAAGGTATTAGTGGCAACTTTTGTATTGCCACAAGGAAAACCGTAACTGAAGGTTATTTGTGGTGATGTTTTGTAGTCGCCACTAACAGAACATATTTTGTGGCGACATAGTTGCCACAAAAGGTTGGAAAAAACGGTACAAAAAATTATTCCATAAGAACAAATATTAGATGGGTCGCCACTATAAATGTCCTTTAGTAGCGACTAAAATTGCCACAAAAAAAATTTATGTTCAGTGGCAAGTTTATGTCGCCACTATAAATGTTCTTTAGTAGCGACTAAAGTTGCCACAAAAAATATTTATGTTCAGTGGTAAGATTATGTCTCCACTATAAATGTCATTTAGTAGCGACTTAAGTGGCCACAAAAGTTTTAACCATGAAAGACACAATGTTTTCTGTAGCGACTAAAGTCGCCGCAAAAGAAATTTACATTCTGTGGCAACTTAAATATCGCAACAGTTAATAAATTTTTGACAAAACTACGCCACCACTAAAAATTATTTTCTCAGCAATTATAACGACCAAAATGTCACGATCCGAATTTTCCATCCTCGGGAGTCGTGATGACGCCTACTAATGTGAGCTAGGCAAGCCAAACCCTTAACTACTTACTTCATTATTCAACTGCTCCTTTTTAACAAATGTAAGGCGATAACAGGAAAATAACGGAACTTTAAATAATTAAGAAGAAGATAACAATTAAATTTCTGAAATCTACGTCTATTACAATTACTTAAGTTTCAACCACCCAAAACCTGGTGTCATAGTATCACAGACGGTCTAAGATTTACTACATACAAAGTTTGAAGAAATAATAATACACTGTTTCTGAATAAAAGGAAAATGAAACAGGAAATAGGGATAGAGGGAGACGCCAGGGCCTGCGGACGCCTGCAGGTCTACCTTAGATCTCCACGTGGACTGAAGATAGCCTCCACACTACGGTCCGAAAGCTGCTCCGGGATCTGCACACAGTACAGAGCGTAGTATCAGCACAACCGACCCCATGTGCTGGTAAGTGTCTAGCCTAACCTCGGCGAAGTAGTGACGAGGCTGGGACCAGACTACCAAATAAACATGTGCAGTTCAAATATATACAGTGGAAAAGAAATACAGAAATAACCAGTCAATACGGGAGGGGGAGCATGCTGTGGGGGAGATAACAGTTCCGAATAGAAAGACATTAAGTAAGGAAAGAATCAACATAACTCGGATATCAACAAAGAATCAGAAATCAACAAATGCACAACATTACCCTTCGTGCTTTTACTCTCGTCCTCATCAAAGCAGTTATATAATAAAAGTGTGCACGACATCACCTTTCGTGCTTTTCCTCTCTTTCCTCACCATATAATTAATAAAATCAGCACAGAATGGTACATCGTGCGGCACAACATCATCCTTCGTGCTTTACACTCTTTTCTCACAATAATACACGGCATCACCCTTCGTGCTTTACACTCTTTTCTCACAATAATACACGGCATCACCCTTCGTGCTTTACACTCTTTCCTCACAAAACAAATAATATACGGCATCACCCTTCGTGCTTTAACTCTCTTCCTCACCCAACCAACAATCACAAATAATAGGGCAAGGAAATAAAGAAAATTTGCAATAAGAATCCCGGCAAGGGAGTAACAAGTCAACAATAGTCCGGCAAGGGTGACAACATAATGATCTCTTCTCTTTCTCACTTTTACTTCACAATTCACTTCACAACTCGAGCCAATGCTCTAGAGGTTCAATTATCACTTATACCTTCACAATTCATTTCACAACTCGAGCTAATGCTCTAAAAGTTCAATTGTCACTTATACTTTCACAATTCGTTATACAACTTGAGCCAACGCTCCTCAATGTTCATAAGTCACAATTCTTCCACAAACTTTATACAACAATTAGAAACCATCACCAAGGCATGAAAGATACAACAAAGTCATGTTAATCACAATATAAAGACTCACGAGCATGCTAGACACCAA